CAGAACGACCACTGGACCAGTCACTGTGAGGTGCACTGACCACCTCTTGGTTCCTTTCCCCGGCCGGCAGCTCCAATCACCTGATGGACACCCATTGCAGGGGCAGGGTTGGCGAGTGGGCGGGAACAGCCGACCTCTTGGTCCCTTCCCCTGGCCGTCAGGACGATTAACCCGATAGCAAGTGGGGAACGGAAAGTGGGTGGCAGCGGGGGGTCGGGGGCCAGCTGCAGGCAGCTGGGGAAGATGGCCCTGATCGCAGGCCGGGCCTAGGGACCGTACCTGCGCAAGAATTTTGTGCTCCGGGCCTCTAGTGAAACTATAAAAAGATTAATTTTCTTTGTAAAGATTCAAAAGAAGCTCCAAAAATGTTTTAGTTGAAATAGTTAATTTGTATGGTCTTAAAGAATTTTATGAAGTTTTATAATTACTTTAATCCTCTATGATAATGATTGGAGCTTTATCTAAGAGTATTAAACAGCTACAGGTGGCATTGCAAGCCTCCAGGCAGTGGTTCTCAACCTTCCTAATGCCACGACCCTTTAATACAGTTCCTCATGTTGTGGTGACCCCCAATTTCATTGTTACAAATTGAACATAATTAAAGCATAGTGATTAATCACAAAAACAATATGTAATTATATATGTGTTTTCCGATGGTCTTAGGCGACCCTGTGAAAGGGTCGCTCGACCCCCAAAGGGGTCTCGACCCACAGGTTGAGAACCGCTGCTCCAGAGGCTAAGCCCCCACTGGAACCTATGAGTACTACTACCTGCCCCAGTGGGGTCTATGTCTTTCCACTGCCTATCACCAATGGAATGTTCCCCTGCTTCCTGGCTACCCCTACCCACCACCCCCACCTGAGTTCTATCTAAGACCTCCCATAATGGACAGGGCCAGGGGATATGTGCAGCTCCCACCACCACCCTACCCTGGGCCCAGGGAACCACAGGTCAGCAGCCCTGATGTCCTCTCCACTCCTGCAGCCGGAGTGAAGGCTGCAGAAGCAGCTGCTAATGCCTATTACAACCTGGGCAACCCACACAAACTCTACATGCCCACAAACCAGCCCCTACCCCCCGCCCATTACCCCTCTTCTGGAAGATAAAAAAATCCAGTAGACCCCTCACCTTCTGCCTTCTGCCTCTCATCCTCTTTCCTTTCCCTCCCCTAGGGGCCAAATCTGGGGTGAAGGGTGAAGGGTGATGGGGGTGGGGGTGGGGGTGAGGGGCCGGTTCTTCCCTGTCTGATTGCAAAACACCAGGAACTGGCTTTAACAGAAGGGAGGGGCTGCTTGCCTGCAGCTTCCTGCACTAGCCCAGAACTGACACTTGCTCAGCGCCCTTCCTTCTCAGAATCTCTGGGGCTCTCCGTGGGGTCTCAGCGCCTCTCTGAGTTCCTGCCCTGTTCTAGGAGCTTCTACCCAAGGGGAGACTCTCTGGCCACCTCCGCCTCCGCATTCCAGCTCCCTCATTTTTTAGCCACTTTATCTTCAGCCTCAGGTCCTCCCGAGAACCCTGTCAGCCCTGATCACATTCTCTGTACTTGCACTCTGGGCTGTGACTAGCCATGGAGGCCACATTCCCTTGCCAGCTAGCCTCCTGCCCCAGTCACACCTGCCTTCTCTGCCCTGACCTTGGTCATTCTGTTGCCACCACAGTGTGACTTTTGGAGCTTTAACATGAGCTTCCAGGGGCTGGGTGGCATCAGGAACAGGCCTCTGAGGCGCAAGGAGGGGAACCTTCTGCTTCCTTCTAGTGTTTCTGGAATTTGTTTCCCATTGCCTTCTCTCTTTCCCCTCTCGAAGGGGCTTCTGGAATTGGAGAAGCGTGTCTGCCCAGCATGCCATTTGGGATGTGCTGGGTGGGCTGGAACAAATGCCCCCGACCTCTGGGACCTAACAGGGGTATGTGCTGACCACAACCTCTGGCAGCCCCGCAGCCAGCTCTCTTCCCTTTAAGCTTCATGCCTGGTTGGCGATGTGCCCCTGAATGCACTCAAATGTGCTCTTATTTGCTCTTGGACTGCCATGAAGTGAGGAGATGGTTAAAGAGAATTCCCTATTTATTTGACAAAAAAATCCAGTTAATATATTAATGTGAAATACAAAATCTTTTTAAAAAATATTAAAACCTGTTAAGGTAAATTTTCATAATCAGTAATATGATGATTAAGGACACATGCCATTTAAATCTATATCTTTAATTAGGTGATTTATGTTATCATTTGCTATAAATAGAACATTACTGCCACCTGGAAGAATTTTCCTTTTTAGCTTTTTATGTTACTCAGCAGGAGTATTTGACTTTGTGAATTTAAAACCTCATAACCCAAGAGTACAAACCAAAGATGATAGATACATTGGACTATCTATACAAATAGTGTTAATACCTATTTTTGTTCATTTTTGGGGGGTATTATTAGATTATAGAATATTACTGCCTTGTGAATACTACTAAAGAAGCACTTAGAATTTTATTTATATATCTTCAAAGCTAAGATACAGAAGCCAGGAATGTTGAGGTTCTGCTCAGGTAGTTTGTACAGTGGGGCCTTGACTTACGAGTTTAATTTGTTCCGAGACCAAGCTCGTTAAGGAGCTCCTTAAGGAGCTCGTTAACTCAAATTACTCTATCAACTCAATGCAAAAAATCGGCTGCGAGACAGCTGGTATCTCAAAAAACTCGTTAGTCGGGACACTCGTAAGTCAAGGCCCCACTGTATTCCTAACTTGCCTTTTGATGGTCAGTCTGCTCAGTCCTTCAGGTCCTGGCAAGTTGCATTCCAGACTATAGTTGGCCTTTTCCTAATTTTCAACTAGTCTAAATAGGTTGCAATCAGTTAACCCTTTGCGGTCGTTTGTCTACTCTCAGCCACCAAAGCTTTTTTACCGTTCCGGTTGTATGTCTGCTCTCAGCCACCACAGCAAGGAACCGTACGAATCTTAACTCTATTTATTCATGTATCAGTTCATAATTTCTCTGAAAGCTCTTAAGTGTCTAAGCGACCTTGTCACGAACCAAAACATTGCCCCGACAAATCGGAGATATCGAAACTCAATATAAACAAACGCGGTCGTTCCACACTCGCCATGCAAAACACCGTGGCGAGTCAGTCGCCTTTTGAGAGTGAAGAAATCGACAAGCTTCGGAGATACTTCGCAGAATTTCAAATAAAGCTTTACAAATTACGTTTAACTGTAATTAGGCATTCTCGCTTGTTAAGATATTTCAAAATAATACTCCAAAATGGCAAAAATAAAGTTACCGAAAGAAGTGTACTGCGAATCTGAAAGTAACGATGAAGAGTTTTATTTTGGCACCTTGAATACTGACTCTGACGTAGAAAGTGATAACGTTTGTAGTGATTCTACTAGTAGTGACGTAGTTCCAAAAAAGAATAAATCTTGTTTATCCTTCATAATCTTGCATGTTATGTATCACTGCTCTTTCAATGGAAATTAATTCCGACCAGTACGACACCCATGTCCAAATTTAATACGACCGCAAAGGGTTAATATATTTTAAAAGACTTTTTTATTACCATAGTGTACAGAAAAAGCCAGGAAGGCAAAAGTGAGAAGTGACTATAGGTTTATAAGGAAATTAGTAAATGAGTTTTGGAGTTCTAGCTCTAACTGAAAATTAAAAAACAAAAAACAATATACCTGATTTTTGGTTGCTGTGTACTTCATGTGAAAACTTGAAAGCTTAGGAATTTTAATACTGAGAAGAAAATAGTTGAACATGGGCATATTTTTCTCCTGTAAGATAACCTTACTATTACAGTGTGAACTATTTAAGTACTTGTAGGGACCATATGTGAACTTTTTTCTTCTTTTTTATAATTGTTAACTCCTTTTACTATGTGCAAGTATTTGAGGTAGAATGATATCAGCTAATTTTATCACCTACATACCTGATGAGCTTCCAGTATTTGAGGTAGAAATTATACTTTTAGAGATGTTGAGAATCTTTCACACCTTTATTTTAAAAGGTTAGTATGTTAGACATAATTTGTTTTAAAGCTATGCAAATGCACAATGTATTTGATTTTTATTATGTTTTTGTTTTTTGTTACTACAGTCAAAGATTAGAAATAAGAGCACAAGTTGCCGATGCTTTCTTATCCAAGTTCCAACTAACTTCTGATGAAATGAGTGTTCTCCGAGGTACAAGAGAAGGACCTATTACTGAGGTATCTTGCTTTTGTTATATTCATTTAAAGTGTTGCAGTTACAGATGTCATTTTTAAGGCTTTATTTTATCATTTAAAAAATATTTGATTTGAAAATATTTTTAAATTTGGAAATTAAGATGCATATTTTAAATTGTTTTATTTTTTTCAAAGCAATACATGTTCTTTTTAAAGGGTACAAGGCTTATAAAGAAAAGCTACATCACCTCTTCCACTCCTCCTTATCTCTAAGTCTTTTGTCAACCATTTCAAACCTGTTAATTGCTGCTTTTGTAAATTCTATATTTAAGAGCTATTATTAAAAAGAATTTGCTTTTAATGTAGTGGGGATGGAAAGGCAGTAAGTTATCCAATCAAATGCATTTAAAGATTACTATTAGTTATGTGTACTAAATTTAGTGCCTGTTATTCCGGGGATGGGGGTGTACAGGATATTAGATCAATTTTAAAGAATAAACTATATGTTCTTTCATTTAACAAATATATTTTAATTATCTGTGTTAACTATTTTTTATATATGTTCTTTGATTTAACAAATATGTTTTAATTATCTGTGTTAACTATTTTTTATTGATTTCCTAACATGAAATATGAGGATTTAGCCTCTTCCCCTCAGCCCCACCCCCCCATACACACACACACACACACACACACAAACACACTCTCTTTCCTTTGTACCTCACAGTACAGTAGCATGGCATTTTCCGTTTTCATTTCAATGACATTACAGTGATTACATGTTCTTCATTTTACAATTTTTTGTCTTTTCTAGATTTGGAAATTCCTTATTTTTTCATCTAATGAATTTTTTATCCTATGCCATTCTTTCCAAACTGACATAGAATTATAAAACCTCTCAAAATGCTAAACAACAGGGAAACGTTTTATTTCTTTCTTTCTTTTTTTTTTTTTTACTTGAAAACATTCAGTTTTTCCAGAAAGGAATTTTTCATTCTCCTAACTGGGAGGAACTACAAATGTACACTTGCTGTCATTATTCTGGGGTCTGAGGGCAGGAAGAGTTCTTAAAGTGGGGGTGGAGTCTCATGGAGTGGCTCTGATAGATGTCACTGTTATCTTACAGTCCAGGCTGAATGTAAGCAGTTACCTGTGGGTAGGGACATTGCTTATTAGCCCTTGTAGTTTGAGGAACTTTGCACATTTTAAATATTTGACATCTCACCTTTTCTCTTCTTGGGAGAAATAATAAACTATATTAGAGGGGATGTTTTTTATTTAAATTGAATTCATCAAAGAAAAGTAACACAGTCATTATTTTCATGTTTAGAACACTGTTTGCTTTTATAAACTAAGGCTCCAATATGTTTTTCTAAAATAAAAATATCTTGGAGTTCAGTATCTGTCAGCTTTTAATATTTAATGAGCATCTTTTATACATCTAACTGTGCAGTCTACTCTTAGATGTGGGGACAAGAATGGGTATATAGCCGAAACCGGTTTGGCTCAACGGATAGAGCGTCGGCCTGCAGACTGAAAGGTCCCAGGTCATTATTTTCATGTTTAGAACACTGTTTGCTTTTATAAACTAAGGCTCCAATATGTTTTTCTAAAATAGATTGATGTTTCTAACTCTCTATCTCTCTCCCTTCCTCTCTGTATAAAATCAATAAAATATATTTAAAAAAAAAAAAAAAAAAAAAAAAAAAAAAGAATGGGTATATAAAAGATATATAAAATGTCATGTTTAATGATAAGAAAGCCATGCTTAACTAAGTCATAAGATGTGCATTCCATAGCACATTTTTCTTTGTGATAATCTTTAGGTTTGCATTTCTCTTCACTAGACTATGCACTTCCTCTTTATAAATTTTTCATCGATGGCAGCAGACAATTGGCATATAGTAGACATTGAATTAGTATATGTTTTGAAATTTGAATAAATATATTATACTTTACATAAAAATTTAGAGAAAGTTGAGATCAGTATAGAAAGGATCAGACTAGGGAAAGTATTTGTTTTTCCTTTGTAGTAATATTTCAGAGTAATGTAATTTTACCTGAAAACATGGACATTTTAAGATTGCATTCTTAATTTTAAAGGATTTTTTCAAGGGATTGGGAAGAGTAAAACAGATTCATAATGATGTCAAAGTTCTCTTGCGTACAAACCAACAAACAGCAGGGTGAGTAACCTTTTCAGTTCATAATTGCATTGCCTCTTATATTTCCAAAATTAAAAAAATTCTAGGTTCTTTTTGAAAAAGTTTAATCTTTATGTGTCCTTGGATAAGGAGGGAGTTATATCCTGATGTGCTTAGAGTAAAACAGCAATTGGGTAACAAAGTGATGGTAATAAAATTTGACATATGTTTAACTATAAAAAAATTGAAAATCATTCCATAAAATGATAAAATACTAACATGATGTAACCAAATCATTCTGTAATTAAACAATATTTAGGTGCTTAGATGTAGCTGTTGGCTAAAGTTTAAATTGTAATGCATTTTTTATTTTTATTTTTTTTTAGTTTAGAAATTATGGAACAGATGGCCTTGCTTCAAGAAACAGCTTATGAAAGACTTTATCGATGGGCTCAAAGTAAGTGATTTCTTTCATGTGGTCTGGATTTGTGAATATCAGTGTTACAATATTTTTTATCTCACTTGGTCATTATTTGATATATTTTGATTTTAGTTATCAAAAAGTACTTTTAAAAAGAAAACAAACTTTACATCTGAACATATTATGAACATTTAACATCAGTCAAGCAATATGTTGATTAAGGATGGAAATTAAAAAATAAAGTCAACATTTCTAGATTATTTTATCTAATTAGATTAGTCTATCTAATCTAGATTACTTTATCTGATCTAGATTAGATTATTTTGTTTTTATTTCAGACAGGAAAGAAGAGAGAGGGAGAGATAGAAACATTAATGATGAGAGAGAATCATTGATCGGCTGCCTCCTGCACACCCCCCACTGGGGATGGAGCCTGCAACTAGGCATATGCCCTGACCGGAAATTGAACCCTGACCTCCTGGTTTATAGGTCAATGATCAACTACTGAGCCATGGTGGCCGGGCTAGACTAGATTATTTAATTTCATTTTTTTTTAATTATTATTTTTTTAAATCTTTATTGTTGAAAGTATTACATATATCTCCTTTTTACCCCCATTGACCTCTTCTAGCCCACCTCTGCCCCCTGCCCCAGGCTTTCACCACCCTATTGTCTGTGTCCATGGGTTATGCATATATGGATACAAGTTCTTTGGTTGATCTCTTCCCACCCTCTCAACCTCCCCCAACTTTCCTCTGAGATTCTGCCATCTCGATTAGACATTGCTTGTTATTTACTTAACTTTATTATAAATAGTGAATAATATTGTATTTCTGCTGTAACAAATTGCCACAAGCTTAGTGGCTTAAACCAATACAAATTTATTTTCTAGTAGTTCCACAAGTCAGGAATCATATATGGTTTTCACCACACTAAAATTAAACTGTTGCCCTAGCCGGTTTGGCTCAGTGGGTAGAGTGTTGGCTTCGGACTGAAGGGTCCTGGGTTTGATTCGGTCAAGGGCATGTACCTTGGCTGCAGGCACATCCCCAGTAGGGGGTGTGCAGGAGGCAGCTGATCGATGTTTCTCTCTCATCGATGTTTCTAACTCTCTGTCCCTCTCCCTTCCTCTCTGTAAAAATTCAATAAAATATATTTTAAAAAATAAATAAAATTAAACTGTTGGCAGGGTTCTATTCATTTCTGGAGGCTCTGAGGAATAATCTGTTTCCTCACTTATTCAGTTTGTTGGCATAATTTAGTTCCTTGAGTCTGTAAGACTGAGGTTTGAATTTCCTTGATGGCTGCCACTGAGGGTTTTTCCCAGTTTTTAGAGGCTGTTTGCATTCTTTGGCGTATGGCCTCCTCCATCTTTAAAGCTAGCAGCGGAGGATCGAGTTACTCTCTTGCTTGAATATCTCCTGGCTCTTCTATCTATATCTCTACCTCTTCTGCCAGCCTCTTCCACTTTTAGGTCCTATGTGATTACCTTGGACCCACTAAGGAAATCTGGGGAAATTGCCCTTTTTTAAGGTCTATCACCTTAATTCCACCTGCAAAGTGTCTTTACTATGTAAGGTAAACTATCACAAGTTCCAGGGATTAGGGATCTTTGGAGGACCATTATTTTGCCTACCACAAATGGTTTATTTGCTTTAGTTTTGTTTAAAAATGTTTCAATAAGTTCTCAAAATTTCCTATTAAAACCAAAGAAGATAGTTAAGAGCAAGAATGGAATAGGAGAACAGAAATTTTAATAGGTGTTACCAACTGACTATTGAAGCAGTTGGGATTAAATCTCGTTAACCGGTAACACCTGTACTGTACTGTGAAAACCTGGTTCAGATGATTTATCTGGTTCAGATGATTTACTCCAAAATGTTTCTTTTTCTGCCTCTCATTTTTTGTACTGTTTACTCCTACTTTGAGTCTTGTCTCTTTCTCTCTTTATATACAAGTCCTACCTCAATCTTCAAAGCTGAGTTTAGGTTTTGCATCTTTCTGGAACTCTCCATGGCTACATTTAATCACAGTGACTTTTCCCCATTTCTGAACACTGTTGGGAAATATTTATTTGGCATTTAATAATTTACTACTCTATTATTGCTTTTTGTATATGTATATTTTTGCTCTCTAGTTTAGATTTCTTTTTCAAAGGCCTCAAATTTCTTTGTGCTCTCATGACATCTAACATAGTGGTTCCAAACTGTGGGACAGTGCTAGTGTGAGGTCTTCATATCTTAAAGGTTGGTATTTCTGAAACAAGTTTGAAGTTCTTTAAACATAGTGGACTCTTAATAGGTATTTAATGATAATATTAGAATATTAAAATAAAGAAAATTTGGTGTAGGGATTTTTAAAACTTTAAAGTCTAAACTTTTAAAATGATATTCTTATTACTACATATTATCCATATAAACATTTTAAGTATATGCTTAAAGATTACTCCCAAGGGAAGGAACTTTGTAATATATATGTATATATTGTGTGTGTGTGTCTCTGTGTGTGTATTTTTAATACTCTTCCCCTCTTGCCTTGAGCATTACTGTGTATATAGCAGTTATTCAGTGAATATTTTTTCATTGATGCTTTTTTTAGAAATATAGTTTTTTAAAACAATAATAAAATATAAGTTTGGGGTGTACCAGGTAGCATATGTGGTCATTTAGAGTTATATAAATACTTAAGCTTAAATTTTTAGTTTGGTTGACAGCATAAACCAGTTCTTGATAGACATATTCTCTAGGTTTTCCCAAGCATTTTAAAAATGCAATATTTGCTATAGAATTTAGACTATGATTGTACAACAGACATAATAAAGACCTAACTTTAATTTAACAGAGGTTCTAATGTTAATTATTTTTCAGGTGAATGCAGAACATTGACACAAGAATCATGTGACATATCTCCAGTATTAACTCAGGCAATGGAAGCCCTGCAGGATAGACCTGTCTTATATAAGTAAGTGACTTTTTCCTAATTAAAAAAGAAAAGCCCTACTTTTGTTTTTATAATGCACCTTAACTTTTGGTATTATTAAATACAGTAGTTTGAGTGATACTTGTAATAACTTACAATGATATTTTCATCCCATATTATGTCTATATCAATGCTAGCATCAGTTCATTTGCATATTATATGCTAAAGAATGAAATATGGAGGGGAAAACTCAGGTGTTCCTGTATCTAAACTACCTCTTATATTTATGTAGAGGCTAAGGGGCTTTTCCCCATTCTGTCATTTTATTAACTACCTTGGAATTGTGACTAAGACTCCTGTAGCAACACTATCTTGGAGAGAAAGAGGTCAAATAGAAGACTGAGAAATGAAAAAAGGGTCCAGGTCTTTGATCCTGTAAGTTATACCAGCCAAGAGATAAGTGATAATATATAGAAAAGAACTTATGCATTATTAACTTGTTTACATATTTGTTATTAATCTTCATTTTAATTTTATTATTTTATTTCTCATCCTATATAATAAAACTCTAATATGCAAATCGACTGAATGATGGAACAACTGGCAGAATGACTGGTCACTATGACATGCACTGACCACCAGGGGGCAGACGCTCAATGCAGGAGCTGTCCCCTGGTGGTCAGTGTGCTCCTACAGGGGGAGCACCACTCAGCCAGAAGCTGGGCTCATGAATGACGAGCGCAGTGGCGGTGGCCGGAGCCTCTCCTCCCTCCGCTGTAGGTGGGCGGTAAGGAGCAAGGGGTCCTGGACTGTGAGAGTCCCAGATAGTGAGAGGGATGTCTGACTGCCGGCTTAGGCCCGATCCCCCTGGCAGGTGGACATCCCCCTAAGCTGGCAGGTGGACATTCCCAAGGGGTCCTGGACTGCTAGAGGGCACAGGCTGGGCTGAGGGGCCCCCCCCCCCCCCCCAAGTGCAGGAATTTCATGCACTGGGCCTCTAGTATAAAATAAAAGGAAATACTTTTTATTTTTAATGACTGGAATAATATGAAAAAAGGGAGACCAAGTGAGTAGTTATAATTCAGGAGACAGAAAGGAAGTGGACTTGTACATACACATTGAATCTTACTCTGAATCACGCCTTTCAGATGCTAGTAATATTTTACAAGATTTCCCATTACTCTGCTTTCTGATTGGAACATTACTTAGCTTGTAATAAGGTTCTAGAACACAAATGCTGGGACAGCTGTGTAAAAATATCATTCCACTCTTGTGTTAAGCAGAATTGTAAGTGTTAGAGATACAACATCAATGAAACACTGCCCTCAAATTGCTTTAGTTTATGAAGCCAGATATAAACACATCCATTTTATGAATATACTAGTTGCTGTTCTAGAGGTCATGTTTCAAGTATTCTGTGGTAAGAGATAGGGATGAACAGTAGGGAAAGTTTCCTCTGGAAACTAGGTAAAGTGAGTTCTGAAGGTTGAGTAGGCATTTTCCAGGAAGAATGGGAGCAGAGAACATCCTAGGTTGAGAGAACAGCAGCTGCCAAGATGCAGATTAAGAAAGAACATGCAACTTTGAGCAATCATTGCAAAAGCTTGCACTGGTCATTGGGTTAGTAGTAAGAGCCGGACCATAATAGCCGTAAATCTTGTGCATGTACATATGATCAGCTAATGTTCACTATGGGTCACCAGCTCTTTAGATTATATTTACTTTGAAATTTGTTTCCTAGCTTCTTCACTTTAAGGTATTGGTGTTTGGTTATAAGTCATTTAGTACCTAAGACGTTTGATGTTTGATTTTAATAAGTGTTACATTGTCCACAGATTCATGTTTGTTCACAAAGTCAACCTTTTTTTAAACAAAAATGCCGTTGTGTTTGGACATTTGAAAAGGTCAACTGACTTCTATAAATATATTTTCACTAAATTTTGCTTTTTGATCAACATTTGGAAAGGAGCAATACTGTTTAATGGCTTAGAAGGTGTGTGTGTGTTCTGAGTTACATTTTTTGAGAAGACTTTGCTTGCACCTTTATAAGCTTCTGTTTCCTTAGCTGTAAAATGAGGATAATATTAGTACCTATCTTACAGGTTCTTGGGAAGGTTAAATTATATTTTTCACTTAAGGTGTTTAGCATAATACTTTGCTCATCACTAAATATTAGCTATTATTTTTATTTTGAAAAGAGATAAACTGGAAAGTTGTCAACTAAAAAGGAATGTTTTTAGGGTCTCCATGACAGCCAGGCAGAAGCTTGAAGGACAAAGAATAGAGCTATAATCAAGAGGAAAGATGATTTTTCTCTGAAGGGCATATGCCAGGGAATAGGCAATAGGGGGACAATAGTGCAGATGAAGCACTTGGAAGATGAGAGAGGAGGGAGGATTTTAAGACCAGTTGATTACCATAAGATGAGTGCTGAAAAAGAAAATTGGCCTTTCATTAAGTAATCATGTATCTTCAAAGTGGTGGATTCTTTAAATTTAGCACAAACTTAATGTATCATGTTAACCACCAGATGGCATTATATGAACTTTATTTAAGTAATGTACACTAGCTTTACTTTTCATTATTGTGTCTCAGATGTGTAGGTATCATGTATAAGAAAAATGTCAGTTATTGAAGTCCTTAGGGAAAGTTGCCATACTCAGTTTTTGTTAGTAATATATAACTGGAATGCTAATGCATTCTTAACTTTTGAAATTTCTTCAAAATACAGAAATTTCTTCAAAATGAAATTTATTATATGTGGAAATGAAAAAAAAAGATGTCTTCTTTGCTAAACCTTCAGAATATAAATATAAAGAATGTAATAAGTACAGTATTGATTTTTCTTCATTCTTTCTGTATTTGTTACATTTCTTAGGAGGCTTTTATACTGTTCTTTTATCCTTTAATTTGTTATTGACCAAAATTTTTCATCTTTTAATTTGCTTTTTGACCATAATTTTTCTTTTTCACTATAGCTAGATATTATAAAAAATGGGAATTTTAATTTTACTAGAGGCATTTTAGAATATTTACATAAGTTTACATTCACCTTTGTAAATGTGCATTTTGAATTTTTGACCTTTGTTGGAAAAGAATCTGGTTTTGGTTAAAGAAGTTTTCTTCTATTTCTGGGAAAAGATGTTTCATGTCTACAGATATCATTGAAGGTTTATTGTAGCTTACATTATTCTTGCTTCAGATTATGTCTATTATTGCAGTTGGATTACCATTAATATTGTTTATTGATATCTTATAGAGTTATACAGATTAGATTCCATGGTTTGTGGGATTTGATAACTTCCCCCTTCTCTTTTAAAATGCCAATGGTTTCTAATATAACTTTTGATCAGATTTTTGGGTTCTGAGGGTGAGGATTAATTTTCTATATTTAAAAAGTTGAAAGTTTTTGAATTTTGTTTTGTGATAAGTAGTCATTTGATCAAAAGTCATTTAATGTAATTGGTGATTATTTAAAAGGGGTGGAGAACGTCCGGCCCTCGAGCCGTATAAGGCCCCTGAAATCATTTGGTTTGGTCCTGCAAAGGCATTAGGGGTGAGTTAATTAAATGTTTGACCAAATATAGCAGGCTAATTTTTAAGTTGATAATTTTGTATGGTCTGCGAATGATGTTATAACTATCCAAATTGCCCTTGGCAGAAAATAGGTTCCTTACCCCTGAGTTAAAAGAATGCAGTTTTTACACTAAAACATTGAGAATTTAAGAGCATGAGGGGAAAAATAGAAATTTTTGTTCTAATTTGTTTTATAAAATAGAAAGTGAATGCAAGGCAGTTGTACAGTTTAACAAAACTCAGCTTGATATTGTTTCCATCTTGACATATTGCTAGTATATCATTGCAGGGAATTGCAAAATCAGTTTAACAGAATGCAAACACATACAAAGAACCATGATCTGGTTACTGCTGAATGGTCTTTTAAAAGGTTCAGATTCCTAAAAATTTATAGTTATTGATCACTTCACTACACTTTCACTTTTATTTAAAAATATTTTTTCTTCCAGCTTGTGTTAAAAAAATGTATTCTATTAAAAAATCAGTAGCATATTTAAGAAAGCGTATAGCTGAAGGAATTAATTCTTTGGAAACCTTTGTGAAATCCTGGTAGCTTTAGTTTATATGTACAGTAATAAAATAATTCTTAATATATAGTCTATTAGAACACTGCCTAGGCATTTATAAGTTAATGGATCTAGAATCTGCTGCCATTGGACTGTGAAAAAAAATTTTGTTTTCTGTGTACTTTTAAAAAAGAAAGAACTTTCATTTGGGTGATGGGTGTAAGGAATAGTGGTGATAATGGGAAACAAAGGGAGATTTTAATCAAAGAAATGGGTACTTGTGGCAACTACAAGCCATCCTATAATTTCACCCCAAATTGTTTGATCTCCCATTTCAAAGTTTTCCTTCTCTAAAATTCCCTCACCTTAGAAAGCCTTTCCCCCCTTTTTCAACTAGAATTGATGACATGTAAACATATGTAAAAGAAAGTTATTTGCTATGTATGCTAAGGTGATCAGTAAATTTAAGAAACATATATTTACTAGTGAAGTCAAAATAAGCTTTTAAATGTGAATAGTATGTTTTGGACAAATTTGGTGGTAGGTTGTGATAATATGTATAAAGGAGAGTTTTTTAATGTAGAAGGAAGAAGCTTGTACTAGTAGTTTGGATTGCGGAGTTGTAATTGGCCCTGAGAATTAGATAATATGGCCTTATGTGAACAGTGGAGCATCATGTTTGGACTAGGAGGATAATGAAACCTGAATAGTCCAAGATTTCTACCTTAACCTTGATTTTTACTTTTACCTAATTCACTGCTTTTTTTGCTTTTAAAAAATATTTTTATTGATTTTTAGAGAGAGGGGGAGAGGGAGAAAGAAACATTAATGTCAGAGTGAAACATCAATCGGGTGCCTCCTGCATGCCCCCCTGAGGATTGAGACTGCAACCCAGGCATGTGCCCTGACCAGGAATCAAAGTGTCAACCCTTCAGTGCACAGGACAACGTCCAACCAGCTGAACCACATCAGCCGGGGCTCTACTGCCTTTTTTTTCTTTTCTTTTCTTTTCTTTCTTTTTTTTTTTCATTAATCCCAGATCCCAGCATTCTTTCTTAACAGTAGTGAAGTTTTATACTTTTAGATTGAATAGTATTGCTTAAGAGAGTTGTGTAAAGAAGCTTTATAGATGTCTTGCTTATCTTAGAAATTGCATGAATAGTTTGATATAACCATTAGGAAGAAAACAACTATTTTTTATATTACTTGTTTCTTCTAGGTATACCTTAGATGAATTTGGAACAGCCAGAAGAAGTACAGTTGTCCGTGGATTTATTGATGCTCTTACAAGAGGGGGCCCAGGAGGTACACCTAGACCCATTGAAATGCACTCCCATGACCCTTTAAGGTATGGTAATCAGACAATATTGGAATATTTGATGGTTTTCTGAAGGGAATCTTTACTAATATTTAGTTTTTTCATTAGATATGTAGGAGATATGTTGGCTTGGCTCCATCAAGCTACTGCTTCTGAAAAAGAACACCTTGAAGCTCTCTTAAAGCATGTAACTACACAAGGTGGGCCCTCCAATTGTATTGCTAATGTCTAAATATATAAAATAACACAAGACTTCTCTGTTTCTATACTTACTGATGACTCCTTCACGGGGATAAGCTTTTCTCACCTACAAGGTACAATAAGCATCCTAATTAAATTTCCTCTTCCTGTTTTTCTTTTTCTGCTAATAAACTTTCTTCTCTATCCCCTTTATCCTTGTCACACAACTGTTTACACCTTTATAGTGGACCCTACCATATCAAATCTGGAGTCCTCTGCTTTTCTTTTAAGGCATTGCTTTAGCATACATTATCTCAGATCTTCCATGCCACATCACTTTGAAGGCAATTTAGGTGTGAGTAAGCTGACTAAGTGACTTGCTTATGGTCATTAAGCTGCTAATTCTTTGACTCCTACTAACCAACCCTTCTTTTAATTCTCATGTGAGTTTTAAAGTTTTTTGCATAATTAACTATGTACTAAATGTACTTAAAATTTTGGTTTCATTTCAAGGAAGAAAAATTACTATTTTTGAATTGCTAAAGTCTTTTGTTCACAGAAGTTCAGATCTTTGTTTTGACTACCTGAAGTTGAATGTCATAGAGGGGGCTAATGGATAATTAAGATATTCTGTTATTGATAGGCAGTGAAGCGAATTATTGTCACTGGAATCACTTTTGTTTTGCATGGCTTGGGCCCTCATCATTCTGGTTCAGCACATGATCTGCACAAGAGGCCATTGTACAAATTGGTGATAAGACTTAACCTCATCATTTTTAACTCTTTGGTATTCCAGCATATTTGTTAGATAGACACAAAGTCTGAACTTTTTAAAGTTGGTTTCTGTTATCCTTAAGTACCCAGTTTAAGAAAATGTATTTCTTAAAAAATGTTTCAGAAAACTTAATATGAGAGACAGTGTTAAGACCTGAGAAGAAAATAGATTGGAGTTAGATGAAATAGGTTATTCTATGGGAATGGCTTAATTTTTCTAAGCCTCGGTTTTATCATCTGTAAAAATGAAGGTGGTTGTAAGCAGTAAATGTCAAGTACCTAGTACAGAGCTTGATAAATAGTACTTAGTAAATTTTAGCTTTTCCATTAGATTACAAGGTGTGGTTTCCATTTTTCTCACTGCCTAGAATAAGGTGGTTGGAGAACAAATGCTAATAAATCTTCACAGTGCTTCCTTCAATTAATATCTTTTACACTCCCTTTTGACTCATATTTACTTTTTCACAAAAAAAATGTGTTCACTTTATCAATCACTAAATTAATCAATTTGTTAGTCAAATGAATTAACAAGGCTCTAAACTCAGATATTAACATAATTAATAATGGCCTAAGGGATATTGAACTTAATAAAATATGATTACATTTATTTCAAATGTTTGTTATTAGTGCCATTAGTCATATGTAGTATTTTTTCAGTTTTTTGAAAGTGAAATGTAATATGGAAAAATTTTTGAGTTATGTTATAATTAATTGTAGGTGTTGAAGAAAATATTCAAGAAGTTGTTGGGCATATCACTGAGGGGGTGTGCAGGCCTCTAAAGGTAAAATATTTCGTTTTTATGTATGTTATATGGTATCTGGTTAGATTATGCCCTTATTCTTATGAGTTTAAACACACTGATAACAGCCTGAATTAAAGCTGTAATTTTGTCAAATTAACACAGTATTGTACATAATAATGTATATTTAAAAATAATTATTGTTAATTTTCTAAGAAAGAAAATTTGAGACATTCTTAGTTTGCATATGTTGATTTTATTTTTACCTATTATGTTTCCAATAGTAATTTGTCAATCCCTTGAATTGAAGTAACTAATTTCTGAACACTTAACAGATTTACTAACAACTTTTCCATTTATTTTATTGTTTCAAGTATAGTAAACTTTTGTGATAGCAATAAATAATAAATCCAAGGATAAAATAATAAGTGTGTTATTATCAATACTATTTGTAGTACAGGAAACAGAATTTGAAGTCAAAATTAGAATTCCCACTTTGCAACTTAGTTGTGTTCACTTATTCAAATTGTCTAACTCTTCTGCACCTTAATTTTCTCACGTTAAACCTGTATATAAAAATATCTACCATCAAGGGGTATAGGGATGAACTGAGAAAACTGTGGATGAAGTATGTAGTTCTTGGCTTCTATAAGGCCTGCAATAGATGTTGTTTTTCTTTATTAAAGAGTAATTTGCAATTGTTGGTTTATTTTTCCTTGTTGACTGACTTCAGTTTACTGTATAGACATTGAAATCCAGAAGTTTCATGATTTATTCTTACCAATAATCAAACCCTGACCTCAGTGGTTAAGGTTGATGCTTAACCAATGAGCCACTTTGGCTGGGCTCATTATTCTATTGATTATTTCTGGTAGCAACTGCTTTGAGCCAAATTCTGTAGATAAGCAATTATTTTTTTGTAGAGTATATCAAAGTATTTTTTTTATTTTTCCATCCTCTATCATTTAATATTCAGAAATCTTTTATTTAGAAGGGATTTTATGATTTCTGCCACAATAAAGTTTTATTATTTTTAATGCTTTCTTTAACATAATGATTAGTGAAGAAAAGTTATGCTTTTAAGAAATGTTTAATATTTTTCTCACATGTTTTAATAGGTTCGAATTGAACAAGTAATAGTCGCTGAACCTGGAGCGGTTTTATTATATAAAATTTCTAACCTCCTAAAATTTTACCATCATACAATCAGGTAAGTGGAATGGTTAAATGTGCTTGTTAAATCCTGTGATACCTCAGTTCAGTTAGAACAGTGTAAGATTTTTTTTTTTTAATTTTCATTGTTTGCATGACTAAGTATAACTGGTAAAACTTCCACATGAATGAATGAACCATATGCATAATTATCTGTGTCATTTTTTCAGGTCTATTGTTTCCTTTTGCTTTTATTCTTCAAACAAAATTATATACATGCTTACATACATCCACAACATAGATAACATTGTAAATGCACTAGTAAAATAGATTTATAGCACCCAGAGCACTATATATTATACTCAGAATAAGGCATAATAAGTTAAATATCCTATTCTTGATGTAAATAACAAATTTTTTTTACCATTTAGTTTTCTATTAGTGACAAAACAAAACCATAGCTTTATCTTCTCTAAATAAAGCTACTTTAGCATCTCTAAATAAAAGCTGCGTTAGTGTCTCTAAATAAAACCTACTTTTATCTGATTAAGGACCATTTGTCTTATCCTATATAATAAAAGCCTAATATGCTAAGTGTCCGGTCAACCAGTCGGCTGTTCAACCAATCAAAGTTTAATATGCTAAGGCCGCTCAACTGCTCGCTATGATGTGCACTGACCACCAAGGGGAAGACAGTTGACCGGTCCACCAGTCACTGTGGTGTGCTCTGACCACCAGGGGGCAGATGCTCCACTGGTAGGTTAGCTTGCTGCTGGGGTCCAGCCCATCAGGACTGAGTGAGACAGACTGGACACGCCCTGGAGCCCTCCCGTGGTCCCTCCCCAGCTGGCCAACCTCTCATATTCCTCCCCGGCTCCGATCGTGCACTGGTGTGGTCCCTCAGCCTGGCCTGCACCCTCTTGCAATCTGGGACCCCTCGGGGGATGTCGGAGAGCCAGTTTCGGCCCAATCTCGCAGACCAGACCGAGGGACCCCACTGGTGCACGAATTTATGCATTGGGCCTCTAGTTTAAAATATAATCTTTGACTCCAAAGTTTGCATTCATTTTAGCTTTGCATATATATATGTTGATGGTATTCACCTACACCAGAGCTTTATTATAAATGTCACCTTAAGACTATATTATATATGTTGTTATGTTAAAACCCTGTCTTTTCAAACTTTATTTTTGATAGTTTCCATATTAGTTCATTAAAAATGATTTAAAAAATAATTTTTATCCAGTATGACAGTATGAGGAATAGAATGTCCATTGTTAAAATTGAAGATAATTATTATAACTAATAGTTCCTGGAGAGGTGTAAGGATCACTAGTTTGCAAATCACCAAAAGACTATGGCAATGATGTTACCTAAATTCTAATGACTGAGATTAAACATTCAAAACTTCACAGCTAAGAGATTGATTTCTTGTCCTACTGGTAGATTTTCAAATAAAACTAACCATGCAACTGATCAGAGATAGGATTTGGGTTCTCTAAAATTTTAGATATAAATTTATCACTTGCCATGACTCAAAAGCAATAAATTAATTTTAATTGTAAGGTATAGGCTTCCTAAAATAAAAGAATGATACATACTTAAGAGCTGAAAGCAGCTAACACATAGTTTATGCTATATTATGCAACAACAGTGGTAAAATAATTAAGTTATCTATGTAGTAATGCCGATATGGAAGTGAATGAAATTTATTATTTGAAGATAATGATAACTCAATACTAATGCAGAGAATCCTATCTAATAAAGAGGTAATATGCAAATTGACCATCACTCCAACACACAAGATGACCGCCCCCATGTGGTCAAAGATGGCCCCTGCAAGATGGCTGGCAGGGGAGGGCAGTTGAGGGCTATCAGGCCAGCAGGGGAGGGCAGTGGGGGGGACCAGCCCTGCAGAGGAGGGCAGTTGGGGGTGACCAGGCCAGCAGAGGAGGGCAGTTGGGAGGGACCAGCCCTGCAGAGGAGGGCAGTTGGGGGTGACCAGGCCTGCAGGGGAGAACAGTGGAGGGGACAAGGCCTGAAGGGGAGAGCAGTTAGGGGTGACAAGGCCAGCAGGGGAGGGAAGTTGGGGGGGACCAGGCCTGCAGGGGAGGGCGTTGGGTGGGACCAGGCCTGCAGGGGAGAGCAGTTAGGGGTGACCAGGCCTGAAAGGGAGGGCAGTTGGGAGCGATCAGGCCTGCAAGGGAGGACAGTTGGGGGGGACCCAGACCTGCAGGAGAGGGCAGTTGGGGGCATCCAGACCTGCAGGGGAGTACAGTTAGGGGTGACCAGGCCGGCAGGGGAGGGCAGTTGCGGGTGACCAGGCCTGCAGGGGAGGGCAGTTGGGGGTGACCAGGCCAGCAGGGGAGGGCAGTTGGGGGGGACCAGGCCTGCAGGGGAGGGCAGTTGGGGGCGACTAGGCTTGCAGGGGAGGACAGTTAGGGGTGACCAGGCCTGCAGAGGAGGACAGTTAGGGGTGACCAGGCCTGCAGGGGAGGGCAGTTAGGGGCAATCGGGCTGACAGGGGAGCAGTTAGGCATCGAACAGGCTGGCAGGGGAGTGGTTAGGGGGTGATCAGGCTGGCAGGCAGAAGCGGTTAGAGGCAATCAGGCAGGCAGGCAGGTGAGCGGTTGGGTGTCAGCAGTCCTGGATTGTGAGAGGGATGTCCCAGATTAGAGAGGGTGCAGGCTGTCCTGAGGGACACCCCTCCGCCCCCCGTGCACGAATTTCGTTCATCGGGCCTCTAGTGTTAAGGATAAAATAATTTGGATTCTGAATACAGTAGTAACTTTTAAGGCTTTGACAATTATAATTTTTCTACCTTTGAAGATAATAATTTTGAAGATGACAGTTAAGATATTTTGATAGTTTTGCATGTACTCTTCTACTTGTACACACATTTTATCATTTAGTCAATTTGAAAAGTTGACTATAAATGTCATTCTTCTAGGTTCTAATAAAATGGCAATGAACAAAGTTTAAACTTACATTCTAATAGCAGAGACAGACAAGTATAAAATAATTTTCAGTAGTGTGAAAGGACACTGAGGAGAAATAAAGCAGGACAAAGAAAGTAGAAAGTATAAGGAGTGGCCATGAATGACTAGTTGTATATATGTGTGACTGTTTTTGAAGGTCTTTTGGTGGAGGATATTTAAATAGAGATCTGAATAATGTAAAGGAGTTGGGATTGAAAATATCTTGGAGAAGAGTGCTCTATGTAGGTTCATACTCTGGCCTTAAAGCCATGAAAAGTTTGCATTGTAGAGGAGAAGGAAGGCCAGTGGTTGGAGTGGTATGAATTAGGGGGCAATGAAATCACAGAGGTAGGCAGAGGCCAGATGATATAGGACTTTGTAGGACATGGTGAGGGTTTAGATTAAAAAAAAAATCTTATTGTTGAAAGTATTATGTAGGTCCTCTTTTTCCCCCCCATTAACCTCTTCCGACTTGCTCCCATCCTTCTCCCTCCCTAAAATTTTATTGAGGATTTTAGTGTCTACATTCATCAGAGATACTGGCCTGAAGTTCTCTTTCTTTGTCATGGCTTTATGTGGTTTTGGAATTAGGGTAATGCTGGCCTCATAGAAAGAGTTTGGAAGTGTTCCTTCTTGAATTTTTTAGAATAGTTTGAATAGAGGTATTACTTCTTTGAATATTTGGTAAAACTCTCCTGTGAGGCCCTCTGAACCAGGGCTTTTGTTTGCTGGGAGTTTTTTATTTTATTTATTTTTATTACTGCTTCAATTTCATTAGCAGTCATTGGCATATTCAGGTTTTCTGATTCTTCCTGAATGAGTTTTGGAAGGTTGTATTTTTCTAGGAATATGTCCATTTTGTCAAACTTGTCCCATTTGTTGGAATAAAGTCTTTCATAGTATTTTATTACAATCCTTTGTTTTTCTGTGGGGTTACTTGTAACTTTACCTCTTTCGTTTCTGATTTTGTTTATTTGGGTCCTCTCTTTTTGTTCTTGTTGAGCCTGGCTAGAGGACCATCAATCTTGTTTATCCTTTTGAAGAAGCAGCTCTTGGTTTTATTGATCTTTTGTATTTTTTTTTTTTTTTTTTTTGGTCTCTATGTCATTTATTTCTGCTCTGATCTTTATTATTTCCTTCCTTCTGCTTGTTCTTGTTGCTCTCTTTCTAGTTCTTTAAGTTTCAGTGTGAGATAACTTATTACCAGTTTTTATGAGGTAGGCCTGTAGTGCCATGAACTTCCTTCTCAGGACTGCTTTCACTGTGTCCCATAGGTTTTGGATTGTTGTGTGTTCATTTTCATTTGTTTCCAGGATGTTTTTTATTTCTTCTTTGATCTCTTTGGTAACCCACTCATTGTTTAATAGCATGCTACTGAGACTCTATGTATTTGATTGTTTTTGAGTATTTTTATTGCAGCTGATTCCTAATTTCATGCCATTTTTGTCTGAGAAGATGCTTGGTATGATTTCGTTCTTCTTGAATTTGTAAAGACTTAGCTTGTGTCCTAACATGTGGTCTATTTTTGAAAATGTCCCATGTGTACTTGAGAATAATGTATTTTCTGTAGCTTTGGGGTGGAATGTTCTGAAGATGTTAATTATTTCCAACTGTTCTAGAGTGTCATTTAGGATTGCTGTTTCCTTGTTGATTTTTTGTCTAGAAGATTTATCCAATGATATCAACGGGCTATTACAGTCCGCTACTCTGATTGTATTTCTGTCAATCACTCCTTTGATATCCTTCAGGAGTTTTTATATATATTAAGATGCTCCTGTATTGGGTGCATATATGTTTATGAGAGTTAGAGGCTCTTATTGTATTGATTCCTTTAGTATTATGAAGTGACCTTCCTTATGTCTTGTTATGGCCTTCAATTTGAGGCCTATTTTCTCAGATACAAGTATTGCTACTCCAGCATTTTTTTCATTTCCACTTGCCTGGAAAATTGTTTTCTATCCGTTCACTTTCAGTCTGTGTCCTTTGTTGTAGGGTGTATTTCTTGTAGACAACATATATATGGGTCATGTTTTCTTATCATTCAGCTACCCTATGTCTTTTGATTGGAGTATTGAATCCA